ATGCATTCACGCACAACATTAAGGGGTGCAATCAGTTAGTTAGCCCGCTTATTACAATTTCTTCTTATGCTATGCACGCTGATGTGGCATTTCTGCTTCGGTCGCCTGCAAATGACATGCAACATTGCGCATGCGTGGAATCAAAGTGGCATTCTAGTGTGGCAAGTATGTAGTAACATACTTGCATGCATAAGTTGAGCACCTGTAGTGCGATTTGCTCCCTCTGCAAAGTGCGTGTAAGCAAATTTTCTGCACGCATAGCAAATACTTGCGACTGCTTGGCTGACTCGATTGCCTAGTTGCCTGTTTTAGCTTTTCTCACTCTGTCACAAGTTGATTGCCATTTACTTTGCTAAGAAACTGCATACATAAGTACTTATCGCTTGAAATGATGTGGAACTTCTTTATTTCATATTATTTTCTTGTTATTACTTATGATTATCGTTTTATTTTTTATTTTTTTGCAAGTGTTTTGCTTAAACACCTTTAAGTAAGTAATTGCATGTGTAGTCTTGTTGACAGCAATTGATTGAAATAATTTGTCGACAATTAGCTATTTCCGTAGCCGACATGCAAAGGTAGCGAAGGTTGAGGTAATAAAGAAGGCAAAGGAAAGCCAAATATTGTTAGTGAAGTTTTTTTGTTAAGGTATCAAAGGATGCACATACTCACTCTCAGGGAACTTTCCATATCGACTGCTCCAAAACCCCTCGTATAATCAGCCTGAATTTATGTGCCCACAAGGACACTATGCTGTTCTAGACAACGATCTGGCTAATGAATTGTACAATGGGCTGAGTGCTTTTCATTTCCCGGCTCACCACTACTTAATGCCATTACTGCCCGCATACCTACTATAAGATAACGAATTATTCTTGAATACAGAATTCGATTTCTCTATCTGATACTTTTACCGATGGTTCAAATATTCAGCACAGAACTGGAGGAGGGGATTTCTATTACTAGAGATATGTATGTGTCCCTCTACCAGGCGTACCTAAAGCTTTCCTGAGGAAAGTGTTTGCTATTGGTAAATTTTGCCACATCTTTGGACTCGTCAACTCAGGCGACCACAGGACGAGCGCCACCATCATCATACACCTTCTTATATGTAAAAATTACCGCTATATAGTTTCTGTTTTGGCGACATTTTAGACCACTACAGTGGTGGTTAGGTATTTATTAAAGCACCTGCACCACCCTCAGTAGATAAAATTTGTCATCAAAGTATAGCTAGAAATGGAGTTGGTTATGAATTATCCAGAGAGGGTATCTTCATTCTCCAGCGCGATATGGAGAGCAGGCCTAATGAGATAAAAAAAAACGTTAATCCCGCATTTTTTGGGACTAAAATTGCACAGAACCGCGGAAACGGAACCGGGGAACCGGATCTTTTAGAGAACCGACCGGTCCAGTTCTTCCAAGAACTAAAAAAAGGGTCTAGCGGCACTCGATTCTAAATCACTGGAAAAATGGATCCAAAAGAACCAAACCTCGATTCCAAAACACCCGAAAAACGGATCCAGAACAATCAAAACTCGAAAAACGGTTCCAAAAATGTTCTCAGAAAAACCGAAAAAATAAGCCCAAAGAACCTACGTAACCGAAAATCGGCCTTAAATCACGCACGTTGCACTATGGGTAAAAAATCGATTTTTTTGGCATAAAGTCTAAATATGAAGACATCAGCTCGAAATTCGGTTTGTGTGATATGTAGGTGACCTACCGAATTTTATTCGGTTCAAGGCACTGTGTATATCATATAGCTGCCATATACCCGATCTGGCCGACTTACATCAACTTCTTTGTTTTTGATGCTATCCACTTGAAATTCGGTTTGTGGCTCAGTGGAGGTTGTTTTTCTTTTCTGGCCCTACTTTTCTTTAAATCATCCTGATTTGCCTGCGAATACTAGTCGATAGCTTTGTTTCTAAAAGTACTTGCCTTAACAAAAATCACCAGACCTTCCTCTCCTGCTACTCCAGCAGGTCGTTTTCTTCAACAATATCCGCAACAAAACCTTAAAAAATCTCTTTGGTATTTTAAAGCGCATAACGGAACCCAAAGTGTAAATCCACGATATTTATTACAATGTGAGCAACTCTGTGCATTAATTCATTTATCCACCCAATTTTTCCCTCTTCATTTCCTACAACATGCCAACTTGGTCAGTGGGTTTATTGCGTGTCTACAATTTACAAAATAAAACGATTACGCTCCATAACAACAGACAATTTGGCGGCATGACATACTAACTGACTAGCTGAATGTCTGGTTGGCAATAAAAACAAAAACAAAGTGTAACCACTAATTTTTGATAGTTTCACCGGCGATGAACTGTGTCTCCGCCAATAGAATGGATATCGATTACAACAGCAGCGCATAGTAAATCGCACAAACGAGTACAACAGCTTATCTGTCACGCTGTTGCATGCAGCGCGCACAAACTCATTCCAATCAGCACTGCCGCAGCGGAGCTCATTGATTTTATTGCTTGGCAGTTGGCCGTTGTCGATTCTTTTTTTATGACTTCGCCAATTTCCGCTCAACTACCACTTATTGTTGGCATTAGTGATGATTTACCCTTCCGCTATCGTCTGGTCGCACAGTTCGCATGCACAGTTCGCTGGAAGGAAAAATATTTCTCTAAATAAAATTTGATAATGGCTCACATTGTGTGCCACATGCCACAAACAATGGCCAAATGCCAGTTTTCTTCCAACCGTAACTGTGCCGCCGCCAACGACCGCGCACCGAAATTGTGCCACACTTTGCGCATTTCTCGGCTATTTTTCTTGTTTTTTTTTTTGGTGCGCGTTTTCTCCGCCTCAACACACGCGCGCCGCTTAGGTAAATATTTGTGGCAATGCCAAGCGTACACTTGCATCTCATTTATGCCACAGCTGTGTGTTGCATACTTGTGCACTGCACATTCATTTTCATTTTGCTTTGTGCCACAGCATCGTGTTTGTGCACCGCAAGTGCCCACGTTTCATTTCAGGTTGCACGAAGATCTAATAAATCGACAGCGAAACGTACATGTAAATGTAAAACGCTTCCTTTTGACGCGAGTGCGCGCCGCGGCGCGGGCTGGGCGTTTGTGCTACCAAGGGCGCTGACGGCGGCGGCGGCGATGACGCTTTCCGTCGTTTCGCCAAACCAAGTCACATCTCGCACGTCCGGTCCCCACCAAATTCACTCATCGCCGATTTGCGCCAATCTGTCTGTCTGTGCATTTTTTATTGCTCCCTATATGCTACATACTTACATACATGCAATTTTCCTTTGGCCGGCGGCGGCCGCAGCGACCAGTCATCCAGCCAAACCGACCACGCGAACCGACGCGTCGCTTCTTCAGCTCCGCTTCACACAAACACACACATACGGCAACAGCATCCTCCTCTATTACCAACTTGGTTATTGCAGCTGCTGTAATTCTGTTTTCTTTTTTTTTTTCTTTTGTGTTGCTATTGTTGTTGCCGACTGACTGCATA